GAGAGAGCATATGGTTGGAGTGGGGGAGCAGGGTGGCAGGAGAGGGACAGGGGGAGAGGAGAGAGAATCCGAAGCAGACTCTCCATGGAGCACAGAGCCTGACTGGGGCTCGATCTCGAGACCCTTAGATCACAACTTGAGCCAAAACCAAGAGTGGGACGCTTAATCGACTGTGCTACCCAGGCTCCCCAAAAATAGAGTTTTGAGGGAGGTTTGTTTCTGTAATACTTTTTTTGGCGGGCAGGGACTTCAATAGTATGCTTTTGCAGTGCTTGAAACTTTTTGGTAAACACCCATGTTTTGTTGTCAAGACTCCGCTTCTCATACTGCTTTCCCAAATAATATGGTAAAAAGAATTGTGCTGGAGAGATGTCTTTTTCTTTCTTTCTTTCTTTTTTTTTTTTTTAAGATTTTACTTTTTAAGTAATATCTACACCCAACATGGGGTTTGAACCCACAATCTCGGGATCAAGAGTTGCATGCTTTACTGACTGAATCAGCCAGGTGCCCCGAAGACCTTTCTAAATATCTTTCTAAAGATGTGTGCTTTTGGGTTTTGATATGTTTTACTAAAAGAGTAAATGGTTATAATAACTTGGGATTCAGGCTTAGGTAAACTGTTACTTAAGACTGGTGTTGATGGGGAAAGGTGATTAAAATTTTATTTATGAATTTCAGTGACTTAGAATACAAAATGCTTTATTTGATTGATTTCATTATACCAGTAAACTGTATGAAAATATTTCTTATCACATATTTCTTATCGCTTAGATTTCAGTTTGGTACTGGTTATCTGCCTAATTAAACTTTTATGTGTATTTTTTTCCCACTGTATAATCATGAATATTATAAAGATATAAAAGTGAAATAGAATAAAAATTGAAAAATTGTTTTATACATTTTTTTTTGTGAAATAAAAGTTGGGCATTTATAGTGTAAGTGGGATTACTTTAGTTTATTTTTTTTATTTTTTATTTTTTTAAAGATTTTATTTATTTATTTACTTGAGAGAGAGAGAAACAGCATGAGAGCGGAGAGGGTCAGAGGGAGAAGCAGGCTCCCTGCTGAGCTGGGAGCCCGATGTGGGTGGGACTCGATCCCAGGACGCCGGGATCATGACCTAAGCTGAAGGCAGTCGCTTAACCAACTGAGCCACCCAGGCGCCCGGGATTACTTTTCTTTAAAACTTGCATTTTGATGATCATTAAAGACAATGAATTAGCTAGAGAGGTTTAAAAAAGTGTAATGTATGGAATTTACAGTTTAGGTGAAGTTGAACCTCTTCAAAGTACAGATCCACAGCCCCTAACCCACAATTTTGCTACATAAAGAACTCAGAAAACCAAATTTTTGGTAAAACTTACTTGATCGTAACATCTGACCTGATTTGATGTTAGAATATTTATAATCAATTTGTCCCTCCTGGTATAATTGGAATAGCTTTCCTTGGAGAAATATTAATGTGTTTGATTTCAGGGTGCTACAGGGGACTTGTAAGAGGGTTTTCAGGAATGTACTGTATATGGTATATGTACTTTATTACCATTCTAAAATCCAGAAAATTCTGAATTCGGAAACATCTTGTCCTAACGTAAGGCCAGTGTAGACTTACATACATCTCAAATGCTGTAGTTATAAAGACATAGTGAATAATTATCTTTTTTTTCTTTTTTTAAAATTTTATTTTATTATGTTAATCACCATACATTACATCATTAGTTTTTGATGTAGTGTTCCATGATTCATTGTTTGCATATAACA